AATAAGGAAGACCATAGAAGAATTGATGCTTTGAGTTACTGTGTTGGAGGAGAATATTGAAAGTGCCATGGGCTGCCAAAAGAACCAATAGATCGGTTTTTGAAGAAGTAAAGCCAGAGTACTCCTTTGAGGCCAGGTTGGCCAAACTTTGTCCATCATACTTTGGACATATTGTCAGGAGGCACCATTTGCTGGAGAACGATATCATGTATGGTAAGGTGGAGGGTCAGAGAAAAAGAGGAAACCCCCCGGCGAGATGGATTGGCCAAGTGGACTCAAGCATGGCAACAATAGTGAGGTTGGCCCAGGATTTTGGGCAGTGTTCGTTCTGCTGTGCATAGGGTCGCTATGATTCGGTACCGACTTGATGGCACCTAACTACAACATCAATTTATGTCTATTTGTGAAAAAACAAATTCTGAGATATTTTATTTGATTGAAACAATGCTTTCTGGTTTACTTAATTTTGAAATTTCATTATTTGGGAGAATACAGAGCTCAGCACAGGGGTCTCAGGATAACCACAGCCTACTGAATTCTTAACCAGTTGTTTGAACATTTAATTTTATGACTTGCAGTATTATGTCATCAGAATATTTCAGTACGACACTCACCTGTTGTCATTTTGTGCAGATGTGGATTGTCCCTTATAGAAGGTAGCATCTTTGCTCTAGATCCATTACAATTACATATAATACTATTCAGACATGAAAACCAGAGAAATGCTTCTAGTACTACAACTGTCTGGTGCAGATTTATTGCTCATATTGATATTGTATGGCCAATGTGCTGCCATTAAATTTTAAGCCTGTTCACATCAAGATGCTGTTTTTGGAATCTGTAAAGGTATTCTGTTACTCTTGTGGAAAAACTTAAGATTTTTTTTCCCCTTCAATTGGGGAGTCAATGTCTTTTAAAATTTAAGCATGCTATTTGGTTGTTGAACTTGAGTTATAGTTTAGCTGTATATATTTTTGTGTTCAAATATATATGTGTGTATATATATATATACACACACATACATATATGAGTCTTTATAAAGTAGAAAAATTCTGTTATCTTTTCAATCTGTTCTTCCATGAACTTTTTGAAGCCCCCTCATATCATAACACTAAGAGAGTTTCTGGCATATCAAACTTTAGTTGCAGTGTTTTTCTGAAATTAAGTAGCTATTGTTCAAGTTTAGTAAGATATGAATTACAAAGATAGTATATGAATTACAGGATCCTCTGATATGAATTATGTATTAGTAAGATATGATTAGTCCTGGTGTGGCGCTGTGGGTTAATGTACTGGACTGCAAAGTTGTTTGAATCACAAGGTCAGTGGTTCAAGCTCACCAGTCATTCCTTCGAAACTATACAGGGCCGCTATTGGTCATACATTTCTTTATATGTTTGTTGGCAGCCTGAATGTCTTTTATGGTGAAGTGTCTTAATGTCCTTTACCCATTTTTAAATTGTGTTATTTGTCTTTTTCTTTTTTGAAACTTTTTATTGTGAATTGAGTGAAGGTTTACAGAGGAGATCCACAGTTTTACATTCAATAAGTCCTATACTTTGTTCCATCTCTATGAGTGCTGAAATTCTCTATAAATTTTAGAGATTAGTTCCTTGTCTGATAATGCCATTGCAAATGATTTTTTTCTGTCTGTGGGCTTCCCCCCCCCTCTTTTGGTAAAATATTTTGAAATACATTTCCGAATGGCCCAGTCATCAGATCTGTTTTTGTATGCCTTCTATTATATGTTTTATCAAGGATTGTAAATAGTAGGTTTTTAGTGGTTCAATAACTTGGCTTTAACTTTACATGTAGAAAACTAATTTGGGATAATTTAATCATTAGAACAGTCTTATTCATTTGATTTTAGTAAAAATGAGATAATAAAATTTACAAAATATAAATTCAAGAACTTTTCACTAAAACTCCTGGATAAAGTTAATGAAAAGAAACAAGGTCTTCTTAGTGCACTATGTGTAAATACATTGATTGACTGGTCAGAGTCTGATTTTCCACGTATTCTTTCTTTAATTTCTTATAACAACTGTCTTTAGATGTGAAAGCAATGTTACTTTCATATTCAACCTATTAATGAACAGGTCAACTACAAATGATACTGTGTATAATTTAAGTTGTTGTTGCTGGTTTCCGTGGAGCTATTTTGATTCATGTTTACTCCGTGCATGTCAGAACTGTGCTCCATAGGGTTTTCAGTGACTGTTTGTGGGAAGTCAGTTGCCAGGCTTTCCTTCCGAGGCACGGTTATGTGCCATGTACTCGGTTCTGACTCACAATGACCCTGTACAGGGTTTCCAAGACTGTAAATCTTCATGGGAGCAGAAAGCCTCATCTTTCTCTCGTGGAGCAGCTGGTAGTTTGGAACTGCTGACAGTGAGATTAGCAGCCCGATTCGTAACCACTACGCTACCAGAGCTCCTTGAGGCACCTTGGGGTGGACTGAATCTCCAGCTTTTTCACTTAGCTGCTGAATGCATTTACAGCTGCACCACTCAAGGCCTCCATAACTAGAAATGTTTTCTGCTTTTTGTGTGTGTGTGTGAAAATTTTTAAGTGTTTGCATGACGTGCTGTGGGAAAATTGTAATCCAGTTTTTAAAACTTATTTTGAGAAATATTTCAAAGCTACGAAAGAGTTACCAGTGAATGCCTGATAGATTAATCAGTTAGTAACATGTCTTAATTGCTTCTCATTCTCCTAATCTTTCCATCTTATCACCTTCCTTTTTTCTCCTCATCTCAACTGCATACATATACCTCTTCCCTGCTAACACACATACTTTTTATTCTTACGCACTTGATAAGAGTTCTTTCCTTTTATAAAATATTTTGCATGTTGCCTCTTAAGAAGGTAAGTCACATATTTATATGCGTCACTGCTGGTGTTTGTATACTCAGAATATAGTTGATTTTGTTCAACTTTCATTTAACTTAAACCATAATTTTCTTTTTCAAAGATTAAAAAAGTGTTGCATTAATATAAATATTAATATGTTGAAATTTAAAAGAAAGTTAGATATTTGTTTTGCTGAATTAATAACAAAAATTTGGGGACATTTTGATAATGAAGAGGAAATATTTTGTAAGTCAATCTTGGAAGTTTCCTATGGGTTAAAGCTCTTATTTGAAATAATTTAAAGCTCTTATTTGAAATAACTTCCTAATCTTGGGCCAAAGAAAATTTTAATAATTTGATACCATCTGAGTATTAATTATATTTTAGACTCAAGAAATAAGTTATTTTTATGGTTCCATCAAGTGAATTCTGACCCATAGCAACCCTGTGTGCAACAGAGTGAAACACTGCCCGGCCCTACAGAAGTTGATATTTTAATGTTAATTTTATATTACGTATATTTGGATGCTATCATTTGCAGGAGGGAATGGAAGCAAATTTAGCCTTTTCTTTTTCTGAATTAGGAAGCTCTGGAGGAATATGTGAAAAAAGTAAGCTTTATTCAGATGGTAAGAAGAAGTCCTTAAACACTGGAATAATTACTGTTCAGAACTACGGATCTCATGTACCTCCTAAAGTCTCTCACATTACTTTTGCTCATGAAGTTGGACACAACTTTGGATCTCCAGTAAGTATTATTAACCATATTTTAAAAAGAGAATAAATTGTTAGCACTGCTTTTATGTTAGTGATTTTGTTTGTTTATAACGCAAATAAACACATATGAATGTTTCATTTTTCTATGCCAAAACATAGCACAAGTATTTGACTGTACTGAAAGGGAGGAACATAGAATATTTGTGATTAAAATAAGGAACGTAAGAGTAACAGTTCTAGCAGAATTCTATAAAGGCAAGCAATTTTGTCAGTTTTATTCACTGCTATATTTCTGTGTCTAATATATAATTCATGCAATTCTATCTTTTTTCACTATTATTTCCTAAAGAATAAATAAGAATCACTTATTATTTAAAGTGGACTTGTTTTTTTTTTAAAGCAAATTATAGAGTGCTTATTGTTTTATTTCTATTAAAGCATTCTTGAAGTCTGCTTGATTTGTTTTTCTCTCCTGTAGAATGAGAATGAATTTTAAAATCTTTTACTATGAACATTTTCTACCATACACAGAAGTAGAAGAATTACCACAGTGAACTTGCACATGCCTGTCATCTAGATCATGGGCCAACTTACTTTTCCTGTAAAGGGTGTGTTACTAAACATTTACACTTTGGGGGCAACATTTGAACTCCGTTACATATTTTTTCTTTTTGGTTTTGTAATCCTTTAAACATGAAAAAACTATTCATAGGTCAGAAAGATAAGATAGGCAGGCAGACAGACAGATAGATAAGATAACCATTGTGATGAATCCAAATTATGGACAACAGAAAGAACCATTGTCTGGTCATCCTCATGGTCACTGGCATGTTCACATTCAGTGTTGAGGCTATTGTGTCAGGCCATCTCTGAGGTCTCCTGTGTACTCACTGGCCCTCTAATTCACCAAATATGAGCCCTCCAGCAGATGAGCCTGACTAAAGACCTGTCCAAACCTAGTGAGTCAGGCAGTTTTCTGTTGTGAGCCATGAGTTTTTTATTGGCTCATTTCTAGAAGTAGATTGCCAGGTCTTTTGAGTCTGTTGTAGTCAGGAAGCTCCACTGAAACCTGCCTGCCATAAGGACCCTGTTATATTTGAGATACTTGGCAGCATTAGCTCACAGTGTCCTAGAAACACACCAGTTACTGTGCAGTACCAAACTGATGCTGACTGATGGGTAATGGATTCTTAGCTTAGGCCATATAAAAACAGGCTGTAAATTGACTGACCCCTTATCTGGATTCATGAGTTCTTAAGATTTTGCCATGTTTTGTTCATAACTTTCTTTTTGCTGAAGTATTTAAAACAAATTCACATATCCTTATATATACATAACCACAAGTGTAGTTA